GGGCTCTCAACTAGTAATGGAAGCCGGGAGAACAACTTTTGCAAGATGACAGGCAGCGCCCTGCAATGAATGTACTGTGCGCCCTCGGGGTAGCTAGAGGCTGCGAAGAGACGGCCCTCACCGATGTAAATGAGCCTTTCCACATGTGATTCCTGTTTAACCTGCCAGCAGCCCCGAGGCAGAACCCCCAGAGTTGCAGAAGTTTCTGCTTCCGTTGTGGGACTGCTTGGAGATCTTTAGGCACTGCTCTCATTTTACCCCACTGGGACATGCCGGGGGCGGGAAGACACAAGCGTGTACCTTCCGGTTCTGATGACAGTCTTCTCCTCGAGTGATCTAACTGTGAAGTGGCTGTCTATGTCCTTGGACCAGTAGTTTTAGATTCCATAGGCTGCAGCTTCCTATATTGACATTCTACTCGTATCTTCTGTTGTAATCCCGCTAGAAATTTAATTTAGCAGTTCAGATTTTAGGCACATCGAGTGAACGTGGCTGCTATAGGAACTAATTGAAACAGACTACTATTTTCTTAGCCTAACTCATCTTTTTTTTTTTTTTTTTGTTAGATTACTAAGACAAACGCTTTCTTGGCAGACTGAGACGAATTTCTAGGGTAGGCAAGGGCTTTTCTTGGAAATTAAATCGGGGAAATAGCCTACTAAATATTTTTCCTGTGTTGCTCTGAGTTTACTAGAACGTTGTTTAAACAATATAGATTGGGGAGAGATGTACAGAAAGGGGCATCAGAGAGAAGCATATGGTCGCATTGGTGTTGATTGCAGGTTTCTGGTATTCTGAGCTGACTTTGGAGTACAAGTTTACTTTCCAGAGATATCACCTTCTTACTAGACAGTATTCCTTTGAGCCTAAGCACACACAGATTGTAGTTCCTTTACAACCTTTGTTTGTTTGGTTGTCCTATTGTTTTATTTCATGGGTTAATGAAAAACTTAGGTTTTTCTTCAAGCAACTCTGCCCCATAGAAATGTTATGGTTTATCACTTTTCCTTTGAAAGCTTTGGCTTAAATTATTTGTAACCTGAAGGAATAACTGGTATCAGATGCTTCAGAGAGTGGAAAAGTCAGAGCCTTTGAGCAGTGTGAATAAGAGGGAAGCTGGAAACTTAAGGTCTTTGATTTTTTTCCCCCCAATTTGTGCTAATTAAGTGCAGGCATTTCATTTAATTTTAATTCACTGATGTATCTCAAGCACCCATCCAGTGTGTGACCTACAATAATCTACAAATGTTAACTAAACATTCCAGTGAGTAAATGAAAAAAAAATGCTATTAAGCAATACCCATTTGCCACAGTCACACATCATAAGGAAGGTGAGGCCATTAGGGATGGAAGTCACTCCTGCCAGTCACCTGGCCCAAAGGCAGCTTCCATCTGTGGGAAGGATGGATAATGTCACTGTTGGTTCTACGGAGGATAAATTATTTCAGCTAGTGGGCTAAGGGTGGTATAGGCCTGCCCATAGGGCTGTTTCGGTGGAACAGTTTAGAGTCATCTGTTCTCAGTAATCTGTATACTCTCATTTTTTGAGCACAGTGAAAACTGAAGCACATGGAGAGTCAATAGGAACTATATTAATTACATCACTATTTGCTGAGAAGGAATGGGGAACCAGATCTTATTGTGTATTTGGGTTTGACCAAAGTGGATTATATTGTCATTAGCCTTGTGTTTGTCACTTCTGGGTGGTTTTCAGCTAAGGTAACTCCTCTTCTCCAGAAGCAGGAGATTCATTTGCACTTTGATATTTAGGTAGGAGTAATCCTGATTTTAGATTTAAAGGAAAGAAGGGAGATGTATTTTTGAATCTGAAGATGAAGTTAATTAAGACTATTAAATCTCCCCCCCCCCAGGGTTTCTCTTTGGCTTTGGAGGCTGTTCTGGAACTTACTCTGTAGATCTACCGGCCTCTGCCTCCCGAATGCTGGGATTAAAAGTGTGTTCCACCACCGCCCAGCTAAGACTATTAAATTTTAAAGGTCTGTTTTTGACCCATCTTCTCCTGTCTTTGCCCAACCAATTCAGGCTGAGTGTTCGTTCATTCCAGCATGTCGGAAGGGGAATCCCAAACAGTAGTCAGCAGTGGCTCAGACCCAAAGGTAGAATCCTCCTCTTCGGCTCCTGGCCTGACTTCAGTGTCGCCTCCTGTGACCTCTACAACCTCAGCTGCTTCCCCCGAGGAGGAAGAAGAAAGTGAAGATGAGTCTGAGATCTTGGAAGAGTCCCCCTGTGGACGCTGGCAGAAGAGGAGAGAAGAGGTAAGGTGATGGTGATGGCATTCTTTGGAGAGTAAGTTGTAAGCAGTGAGAACTAGAGTAGCTGTACAAAGGAGCAGACCAGACTTGAGTAGGGTGGAGTTGGAAGATGCTCATATGGAATACTAGAATGGCCGGTTGGTGAGGTGACTTAATTCTATTTGAATTGCTTCTCAGGTGAATCAGCGTAATGTACCAGGTATTGACAGTGCATACCTGGCCATGGATACAGAGGAAGGTGTGGAGGTTGTGTGGAATGAGGTACAGTTCTCTGAACGCAAGAACTACAAACTGCAGGAGGTAGGTAATGAGGCCTGGGGGCATTGGAACCAGTATTTAAACAACTGTTGTTGTTGGGAAAGTGACTGTGAGGAGAGCCTTCATGGTTAGATCATCTGTGAGGAGAGCCTTCATGGTTAGATCATCTGTGGGGAGGGGTAGGGAATGGCTTTCATATACTACAGTGATTTGTGAACTTTTGTCTCTGTCTCTCTTGCCCCAGGAAAAGGTCCGTGCAGTGTTTGATAATCTCATTCAATTGGAACATCTTAACATCGTTAAGTTTCACAAGTATTGGGCTGATGTTAAAGAGAATAAAGCCCGGGTAAGATTTTTTGCCTAGTATTTCCTGAACTCTTTGCTAGAAAGCAATTTCATTTACTGTCAATTTTACATTCAGAGGTTAAAATGAGGTAATTTTGAGACAAGAACTGAAATACACAGCTGTGACAAGGAGAGTAGGGCTTCATCTGCCATCTCTAGCATTTTCCAGCTAAAGATGGGGAGAAATGAGTGAACATTTGCTTGCTTCTGTATTTTCAGTATGCTGTTAAGCCTAAGAAAGTGATAATAAAGAAAAGTTGAACACATGTATACAAAGTTAACTATGTATCTGGTGTAAATGTCACCAAGTGAGAGATAATGTCTATATTAAAGCCTTAACAGGAAGTGCTTTGTTTCCCTAGGTGATTTTCATCACAGAATACATGTCATCTGGAAGCCTTAAGCAGTTTCTGAAGAAGACCAAAAAGAACCACAAGACTATGAATGAAAAGGTATGCAGAGATGCTAGACATAGTTTTAGGCTGGTTTAGGGATTTAAAAAGATGGAGGTAATTATGTAGCTAATTAGGGAGGGATGGATTAGTGGGAAGGCTGAGAGAGCAAAGTATTGCTAGGTGTGGTGGCACATGCCTTTGGTTCCAGAGGCAGAGGCAGATAGGTCTCTTGAGCTCGAGGCCAGTGTGATCTTCATAGTTTCAGGACAGCTAAGGTGATATAGTGAGACCCTGGAGAAGGAGGGTGGTGGAGAGGGGAGAAGAAAGGAGGAGAGAGAGAGAATATTACTGCTGATCCTTGGACCAAACTCTTTTCTAGGCTTGGAAACGCTGGTGCACACAGATCCTATCTGCCCTAAGGTAAGTAATATCTGGTTAGTTTTTCCCCAGTCTCTCCTGATTTATTTTCTTAAACAGACTGCAAGGCACTACTCTGCTTTTCTAGTCTGCCTCTCCCCAGTTTCTTTGAGTCATGTGCTGACAAGATTAGCCCCGCCTCTTATGGGGTACTCCTAAAGTCCTAACCACTAGAGTAACCCTCCCTCATTCTCCTCCTGCTTATCCTATTTAAGTCACCTGGCTCAATAGATTCAGAGTACAGGGATTATCATTATGGTGACCAGGATGAGACCTGGCCCTTGCTCCTCTTAACCCTTGGGGTCCCCCTGCCCTTAATTTCCTAGTGGCCCCTCTAACAGCCCAGTGCCCCCACAGCTACCTGCACTCCTGTGACCCTCCCATCATCCATGGGAACCTGACCTGTGACACCATCTTCATCCAGCACAACGGACTCATCAAGATTGGCTCTGGTGAGGGGAGGGAGAGATTCTGGGCAGGGGAGCCTCGGGAATTTGGGAGCCATGGGGGTAAGGTCAAAGGCATAGGGAGAACAGTGAGTTTTGAGGTGTGGGCTGGTTATAAGAGAGAGGCTTTTAGTAGAGGTGATTTATAGGGAGAGACCAATTAGTGAGATGGGGTAGGGTATACAGTCTTATACTTCTTGGAGAGAAACTTGGACTAATACAGAGAAATTGAAAGGAGGCTGAGAAAGGGCAAGAGATGGAGATAAGGTCTGACTTGCGCCCTTTGGGCCAAACCCTACCAAAGAGGTTTCCAGACTGCCTGCTGTGAGTGCTTTCATTTGCTGTGTATTTGTGTGCAGTGACATTTCCGTGTGCCGTGTCTGTGTGTTGTTACCATTTGTCTGGGGCTTGGCTGCTCCATCGCTCACAACTTTTCTCTGTTTTCCTCCCTCCCGCTTACGGGCTGCTCTGTTCCCAACAGTCTTTCATAGGATTTTTGCTAATGGTGAGAGCTCCCTCTGCCCCACTTGGGGCTCTGTTTGTGCTCCCTTTGCTCCCTCTGCGGCTGCCCAGTGCATGCAGTCGTGGGAGCAAGGCCTGTTCCCTGCTTCCTGTCCTAATTATGCTTGCTTAAGCTTTTGCCCTGCCAGCCCTCCACCTGCTTGCCCCTTTGTAACCTGCTTGTTTCCTGTGGATTCTGCTTGGCTGGATACTTCCTCTTAGTCCTATTCCCCTTCATCATCCGGCTGGCTCCCTAAATCATACTGTGCTCCTAGATTCTCTGTGACTTGTGTCATTGCTACGATCAGAGTGAGTTCAGCTTGGGCCTGACCCTGGTTCCTCATTCAGTCCTGTGGTAGGTTTGATGTTGAGGGATAAAGTTTTAGACAAGAGTTTAAAGCTTTGGTGGATTAAAGGTGAAACTGATTTCAGGGTATTGGTTCACTATTGAATTATTTTTTTGAGTTTCCATCAACACAGATGGGTAAGGAACAGGCTAGCTCCTTGGTTGTATATTAATGCTGCTTTGCCTTTCTTATCCAGGTTCATGAGGTCTCCAGTTGTCCTATAGTAGGAAGGACTGCCTGTGTTTTTATGTTAATTGCAGGGCGGATGAATCAAATAAAACCTAGCATTTTCATGGCCTATGGATTTGATAGATCTGGGGCATTGGAAAGATGAGCAAGTCACAAATGAAAGTTTTTCCTTTGACTGTGTTACTTGATGAACCTAAAGCCTCAGTGTCTGTCTGTACAGAGTGTAGACTTTGTTGTTCCTGAGTTAGGGACCATAGGCTGCAGAAGGGGGAAGATAGGTGGTGTTCATATGTAGTCTATAGCTCAGCACTGGGAGAGTGGTAGGTTTGTGTCCATCGAGTATTAGAAAGGACACTTCAGGAGAAACATGGCTTTTGGAGCCTCTCTCAAGAGTCAGATCATGCTTTGGTGGTGGTCAGACTGTGGGTGTCTCCTACTCCTAGTGGCTCCTGACACTATCAACAATCATGTGAAGACTTGCCGGGAAGAGCAGAAGAACCTACACTTCTTTGCGCCAGAGTATGGAGGTGAATAGCCTTGCCCCCCTGCCCAGTCTCAGATCCTGCTTTAAAAAAATTAAGGTCCCTCAGACAGATTGTGCCCTTCTATCTACTCCCTCCCTGATAGAGCCACCCCAGGTTCTTGGTTTTATACTTTATAACCTGAGATACAGGGATAATACAACCAAAACTTCATCTTTCTGCACTTGTGTACATTATAAAAGTATGCTGATCACTTCTTACCCCCAATCAGTTCTCTTTCTTACTCAGACATCTGTTTTCTCTAGAAGTTACTAATGTGACAACAGCAGTGGACATCTACTCCTTTGGCATGTGTGCTCTGGAGGTGAGGAGATAGAGGGAAGGGAGAAGAGAAAACATGAAATTTGAACACAGAAAGGGAGCGCTTGCTGGGAGTGATTGTGGGAACACTGGGTTTGTCTCTGAGATCTGTTTTCCCCTGGGTTTCTGCTCACTGCAGATGGCAGTACTGGAGATTCAGGGCAATGGAGAGTCCTCATATGTGCCACAGGAAGCCATCAGCAGTGCCATCCAGCTATTAGAAGACTCACTACAGAGGGTAAGAGTCATTGGGACCAATGTCCATCCTTACCTGATTTTCAAATGTTTCAGGTTTTTATTGTACCTCTTGAGAATATAGTCTAAGAGAAAAAGAATAAAATCAAAATAGAAAAGACTAAACTGTACAATTTTTCTGTAAAGGGGTTCAGATAGGTAGTATTGAAGTTAATAATTGTTTCCTAGTTAAGTATGTCTACATAGAAGTGAGCTTATTTGATGGTTACCTCAGTCAGTTGCTACACACTCTTACACAATACTCTTGGCTTTCCAAAGTAAATTTAAATATCAAGCCAGTCATTTTGGATTTTATATTTAATGAGTTAAGATGTAAAGGATGAAGGAATTATGAATCAGCAGGTAGATTCATGATAGTGAGACAGAACAGTCTGAACAAGAACAGTTAACTCAGGCCAGACATGGGAGGCAGACACCTATAATCCCGGCACTTGGAAGGTGGAGGTAGGATCAGGAGTTCAAAGTCATCCTCCTCTACATAGAGTATTCAAGGCCAGCCTGGGCTACATTAGATCCTGTCTCAAAAACAAAACAGCCAGCTGGGCAGTGGTGAAGTGGTGGCTCATGGCTTTAATCTCAGCACTTGGGAAGCAGGCAGATCTCTGTGCATTCAAGGCCAGCTTGGGAGCAAAGGGAGTTCCAGGACAAGCAGAACTACACACAGAGAAACCGTGTCTTAAAAACCAGACCCAAGGGCTGGAGAGATGGCTCAGCGGTTAAGAGCACCGACTGCTCTTCCAGAGGTCCTGAGTTCAATTCCCAGCAACCACATGGTGGCTCACAACCATCTGTTATGAGATCTGGTGCCCTCTTCTGGTGTATAGATATACATGGAAGCAGAATGTTGTATACATAATAAATAAAATCTTTAAAAAAACAACAACAAAAAAAAACCCAGACCCAAATAAATAAACAAATAAAAAATCCCACTACCACCAACAGAAAACCCTACTACAACAAGGAAGGAATGGTTAACTAGAGACAATAATGGAGAGCAAGAAAGAAGCAGAGCTCTAGCTAAGAGTTAACAGAGTGTAATCAGGTTCTAGTTCACGTTAGGATGGACAGTTGGGTGAAAGATCAGGTATGTGACTTTGTTGGCTTTTAAAACTGAAAGAAAGCATGTTGCCATGGGATTTGATCAAAGGCAAAAAAGGAGTTAGAGAAAGCATGGAAAATACAGTGAATTCAGGAATTGTAGTGGATAAAAGAAGTTGTAATAATAGTTTTTTGTTGTTTTGGTTTTTCCAGACAGGGTTTCTCTGTTTCTTTCTTTCTTTCTTTCTTTCTTTCTTTCTTTCTTTCTTGGATTTTCAAGACAGGGTTTCTCTGTGTAGCTTTGGACCCTATCCTGGCACTCGCTCTGGAGACCAGGCTGGCCTCAAACTCAGAGATCTGCCTGCCTCTGCCTCCCAAGTGCTGGGATTAAAGGCGTGCGCCACCAACACCTGGCTTTCTCTGTATTTCTTTAGAGGCTGTCCTGGAACTTGCTCTGTAGATCAGGCTGGCTTCGAACTCACAGAGAACCTCCTGCCTCTGCCTCCCCAGTGCTGGGATTAAAGGTGTGAGCCACCAACACCAGGCATAATAATAGTTTTGAGAAACAAAAAAATATGGTGAATATTATTGACTTTAATAGTTTGCTAAGTTTGGGAAGGGAGAAAAACTAAATTTGGCAAAGATCCAAGAAAAGTTGGCCATGAATGAGCAAAAAAAAAAAAAAAAAAAGAAAGAAAAGAAAAATACTAAGTCTTGCTGGGTGTTGGTGGCACACACCTTTGATCCCAGCACTCGGGAGGCAGAGGCAGGCAGCTCTCTGAGTTTGAGGCCAGCCTGGTCTACAGAGAGAGCACCAGGATAGGCTCCAAAGCTACATAGAGAAACCCTGTCTCCAAAAAGGAAAAGAAAAAAAAAAGAAAAAAATACTAAATTTCAGCATTAAAGAAAAAGTATTGTGGTTAGAGAGTAGAAAAGTAATAATCAGGGGCTGGAGAGATGGCTCAGCAGTTAAGAGCACTGACTTCCAGAGGTCCCGAGTTCAATTCCCAGCAATCACATAGTGGCTCACAACCATTTGTAATGAGACCTGGTGCCCTCTTCTGCCCTTCAGGCATACGTGCAGATAGAACCCTGTATATACAATAAATAATTTTTTAAAAAAAAACAAAAGTAAGCCTTTAATCCCAGCACTCTGGAGGCAGAGGCAGGCAGATCTCTGTGAGTTTGAGACTAGCCTGGTCAACAAAAACTAGTTCCAGGACAGCCTCCAAAACCACAGAGAAACCCTGCCTCGAACCCCTCCCCACCCCAAAAAAACCCAAAAGTAATAATGAAAGCCAGGCATGGTGGTTCATGCCTGTAATCTCAAGCACTTCAGAGACCAAGACGGGAGAATTATGAGTTCAAAGCCAGCCTGGGCTTATATAGTGAGTTCTAGGCCAGCTTAAGCCATCTAATGAGACCCTGTCTCAGAAAAACAAATAGTCTAAAAAGAAAAGTCAGAAAGACAGTGAATGATAATTTTGTACATTACCCTATATATATTTGAAGTCCTTTCAGGAGATATAACAGTTTTCCCAATAAATGTTGACTTCCAAGCATGCACAAGAAATTTTCCTAAGTCTAATGAAAGTTACACAATGTGAGAGGCTTGCCGGATGCCTGCTCCAGTTTCTTGTTCTCTTATAGGAGTTTATTCAAAAGTGCCTGCAGTCTGAGCCTGCTCGAAGACCAACAGCCAGAGAACTACTTTTCCACCCAGCACTATTTGAAGTGCCCTCACTCAAACTTCTTGCTGCTCACTGTATTGTGGGACACCAACGTGAGTTCCCTGGACCCTCCTAGAAATTGGTACCAGGACTAAATCCATGCTAAACAAAGAATACTAGGATTTTCTTCCAACTTGGGTCTTCTATCATTGACATGGCATCTTTATTCTCTTACCAAAGGAATTCTTTATCTCTGTCTAAGCCTCTTGTGAATGTGTGAACCAATTCTGTCTTTACATGATGTTCCACCTATTACACCCACAGACATGATCCCGGAGAACGCTCTGGAGGAGATCACCAAAAACATGGATACCAGTGCTGTACTAGCTGAGATCCCTGCAGGGCCAGGACGAGAGCCAGTTCAGACTTTGTGAGTAACTAGCTTGGAGGGTCTGAAAGGGGTAGATTGTCACCACCACACTGAGCCTCTGTAGAAGGTCCATTCTCATGCTGCTTCCTCCTCCTTCCAGGTACTCTCAGTCACCAGCCCTGGAATTAGACAAATTCCTTGAAGATGTCAGGTGAGAGAAGAGGTGGGCTTCTCTGAGGAAGCAGGGGCAGGTGTCCTGAGGCTTTCACAGAGTCCGTGTGACTTTTGTCATCTCTCACCAGGAATGGGATCTACCCTCTGACAGCCTTTGGGCTCCCTCGGCCTCAGCAGCCACAGCAGGAGGAGGTGACATCACCTGTTGTGCCCCCCTCTGTCAAGACTCCAACTCCTGAGCCTGCTGAGGTGGAGACACGAAAGGTGGGGACTGTGGTGTGATTATGTCTTTGGACATGGGGGCAGAGACGTCTTACTTAACTAAGGCACTGTCCTGTTTGGAGTGAATTTATGCCCACTGGCTACCATGTTCTTCTGTGGGCGGGAAAGCTCCAGGTGTTGGTGTGGCTTCATGACTGGTCTCTAGTGGCCTTCCTCTCTTCCTGTCCCAGGTGGTGCTGATGCAGTGCAACATCGAATCAGTGGAGGAGGGAGTCAAACACCATGTAAGCCTCGGGATAAGAGGGGCTTTGAGGGGCTGGGTGGGGTTGCACCAGGCTGGGTGGAAGGACATGTTCAGAGAGGAGCCTCATTCTCTGAGTGTCTTTTCTCTAGCTAACCCTTCTGCTGAAGCTGGAGGACAAACTGAACCGGCACCTGAGCTGTGACCTGATGCCAAGTGAGGGTCTCCCTTCTTTTGCAGGAGGGTGGCGTTGTCCTGAAGGGACATGTCAGGGAGAGGGAAAGTGATTCACAGAGCATGACTGTCTTAGCTTCTGAAACTGGGTGATCTGAAGGGCGGGCTCCCGGCCTCCCATACTGTACTCATTCACCCCTCCTATCTTTCTGTCAGATGAGAACATCCCGGACTTGGCAGCTGAGCTGGTGCAGCTGGGCTTCATTAGTGAGGTGAGGTTCCTGTCTTCTGTGCCCTGGCTGCCTCCCTGCCAGCTCTCAGCCCTGTCTCACTGAGCTTCTTCCTCAGGCTGATCAGAGCCGCCTGACTTCTCTGCTCGAGGAGACCCTCAACAAGTTCAATTTTGCCAGGAACAGCACCCTCAACTCAGCCGCTGTCACCGTCTCCTCATAGAGCTCACTTGAGCCAGGCCCCTATCTGAGTGTGGCTGTCCCTGGACATGCTGCAGTCCTCCTGTCCCTTCCTCCCCAGTCAGTATTACCCTGTGACGCCCCTTCTCCCCCTTATTATTCAGGAGGGCTTTGGGGGCTCCCTGGTTGAGCATCATCCTGCCCCTCCTCCCCCTCCTCCCCTCTGCACTTTGTTTACTTGTTTTGCACAGACGTGGGCCTGGGCCTTCTCAGCAGCCACCTTCTAGCTGGGGCTAGTAGCTGACCTGCTGGCTCCTGCCCTGCCTGTGTGGACAGGAGGCCCACAGGCTCTGGGGGAGCTGAGTTCTACAATCCCGCTGGGGAGGATGGGCGGGAGAGAAAGGTGGTGCTGCAGGGGTGGCCCCGGGGGCCATTCGAATCGCCTCAGTTGCTGCTGTAATAAAGTCTACTTTTTGCTAAAAGTGTCGCTTGGTATTTTTGCAGCTCGTTGGGTGGC